GGGAAATGAACCTTTTTAATTGCCATTTTAACCTGTGTGTGTCTGCAACAAGGCCAGACATTCAAGGGTATGTTAACTTTTGATCAGGGCCATTTGGGTTATTTCAGTTTCTGGTTTAAAAAGGAGCCAAAAAAACTGTAATAAATGACTTCATATGATCACTATTCTTCAATAAAATATATATATATTTTTTTTTTTATTTTTTTTTTCTGCATGACCAATCATATTTTCAAAATCAATGCTAAAATTTCACAATTTCTTCCAGGGTATGAAAACATTTGAGCACAACTGTATATAGAATGTATATGGCTGGGGTGGAGGTGACTGTATATAGAATGGTTAAGGAGGTTAATATTAATTTGAAATTTTAGCTCAAAGGTCTGCTTTTTTATCATAATATAGGGTGAAATAAATTAGACTAAACATTAGACTTCCCTTACACTGATAGCAAGCCACTCAATGGGCAAGGCCATCTTTAGTCTTTAGCTACTGCCATTTAATCAGCCAGGAAACCATGTCAGTACTTAACTATTGTGCATGCAGTGGATACTGCTGTGTATGGAGGCTCACAGAAGCCACCATAGATATTGTCTACCAATTAGCATGACAGTGCCTTTTTTTTTTTTTTTCTTTTGAACTGCATCGAGTGCACAACAACTATTTATTTAAAATAAACACTTTTTATGTTTTGAGTAAATAGAAGCCAAGCTAAAGATGTATATGCATCTCATATATTTGTTCTCAGCTCCAGAGCTAGCCTTGCAAACTTCTTCCAAATGACCAGAACCCAGACACCAGTTGCAGCTGCTGCACTTCAAATACAAAACCGCTCCTTGTGGGCAGAGGCACCGAGGGTCTCTGGGCAGGGTGGGGACAGCTCTGATGACACCGTGGAACTGAGCAATGAGGAAGAAGAAAGTTCAACAGAACTAGATGAAGGGGACCAGGTTCCACCTCCAAACCCAGGTGGGCAGTAAACATAGAGCAATGTGTGTGAAGCCAGTCTTTTTCCGTGACTAACCAGATATTTTATTTGTAGCTACTGAGGAGCTCCACATAAACTCTGGAGATCCTGAAGCTACTGTAAGATCAGATTCTGTGGCAGATAACGGGAGTATAACATTACAAGTACCAGTTGCAGACAAGCCGGTAAAGTCAAAGAACGAACAGACTCTGTCCTGTATCTGTGCAATAGCTCTAGAATGTAACACAAATCCAAGCCCCTTCTCAGAATGCCTGTTGTAGGACTGTACGTCCCATTGGTCATACTGGCTCTTGCAGAAGTAGAAAATGTTTTATAGGGGCAGTCACAGCTGGAGAGGCATTGGTGGGTATATTAGTGCACTGTATATCTTATGACATGTCCTGTTAGTAAGGATGACAGTCTTTAGAAGGACTTTTTGGAAAGTTTTGGCAAAGCAGGTAATTCATTTCACTAATATCCAGGGTGGGATCTGGCCAGAAGAAAGATACATGTGACCTGATTAACTGCTTACGCTAAAACCTACTTGGCTATAGGGGCTAATTGGTAAAGGATGAATAGCTGAGATCTTGCATTGAAAGTCGCCTATAACTTGTGTGGTGCTCCATTTAGAGATTTACATCTAGATTATGAATTCCCACAGGAAAACGGCCCTCCTCTTGTATTTGTTTGTCTAATTTTTTTTATGGTCTCTAAGCTACATTGAACTATTTTTAAAAAAATTTTTTTAAATGTTTTACTTGTCCCTATTGTAACCATTGACAGCTTTGCATAGTGTGATGGTGCTTTATTTTAATAATCATACATTTAACTTTCTTTCACTCCTCACGAATACATGTTAATTATAAGGATAATTAAACATAGCATTAGAAATTCCCATTCGATTGTTGGCTACCTGTAATGTGATCTGACTGTCTGAAGTCCATGTAATCTTCATGTGTTTTTTTTTTTTTTTGCTGTTTTTCCTGCACTCAGAAAACCCCCATAAAGACAATCTCTGTGCCTACTCCTCGTTCTCCAGAAGATGATGAAGGGGACACATGTGCCATCTGCTTTGATTCGTGGACGAATGCTGGCGAGCACCGGCTATCTGCTTTGCGGTGTGGCCATCTCTTTGGTTTCACATGCATTGAACGGTGGCTCAAGGGAGGAGCTGCTAAGTGCCCGCAGGTTGGAATGAAATCATTCATGGATGGGTTTTATTCCTATTCTAAATAGCTTTTTGTCATTAAAAGTATTTTCTGAAAGGGACAAAGTCACAAAAACACTTTATCTGAAAGGGACACTTCAAGCATCATAACCACTACAGCCTATTGCAATGGTTATGGTTCTAGGCGTGTCCTTGTACCTTCACAGCGTAATTTATTAAACAGTTGTAGAGCAGTTTGATACTTACCCTCAGTCTAACCAGGCACATGTGGCTGCATGCTCTGCAGGAGAATCTGTTTAACCCCTTAAGGACCGGCATGTTTTTGCGATGTTGTACGTTAAGGACCAGGGCTCTTTTAACACTTTTGTGGTGTTTGTGTTTAGCTGTAATTTTCCTCTCTCTCATTTACTGTTCCCATACAAGTTATATATTGTTTTTTTTCACGACAAAAGGGGCTTTCTTTACATACTATTATTTGTATCATGTCATATAATTTACTTTAAAAATAATAATAAAATATGGTGGAAAATTGGGGGGGAAAAAAACATGTTTTTTAACTTTTGCTTGAAAAATCTTTAATTTACCTACTAAAGCTAATAAAAAAAACCCAGCTAAATAGATTAAAAATTTTGTCCTGAGTTTAAGAACACCCAGTGTTTACATGCCTTTTTATTTTTTTATTTTTTTTGTGCACAAGTTATAGGGCTATAAGTACAAATAGGAAATTGCTGTTTAAAAATATATATTTTTTAAATGTATCAATAGTGACATTGTAACACTATCTGTCATAAATCTCTGAATCACACCCCACATTTACATTTTTTTTTTTTTTAAAGAAGACAACCCAGGGTATTCAATATGGGGTATGTCCAGTCTTTTTTTAGTAGCCACTTGGTCACAAACACTGGCCAAAGTTAGCGTTAGTATTTGTTTGTGTGTGAAAAAAGTAAAAAAACTAAATTGAATGCTAATTTTGGCCAGTGTTTGTGACTAAGTGGCTACTACAAAAGACTGGACATACCCCATTTGCAATACCTTGGGTTGTCTTCTTTTGCAAATGGTATGTCATCATGGGGGTAATTCTCATTCCTGGGCTACCATACGCTCTCAAAAGCAAGGTAACCAACCTGCCAATTTTCATTGTAAAAATATTTGACCCTGTAACTTTCAATAACGCTATAAAACCTGTACATGGGGTACTGTTATACTCAGAGACTTTGCTGAACACAAATATTAGTGCTTCAAAACCGTAAAACCTATCTCTGCGATGATATTTTCAGTGAAACTGACTTTTTGCATTTTTCACACACACAGCACTTTTACTGATGATCTAATTGTTGTGATACGTTTTACTGTTTTAAACACAAACATTTGTGTTCAGCAAAGTCTCCAAACAGTACCCCTACCCATGTACAGGTTTTAGGGTGTCATAGAAAGTTACAGGGTAAAATACAGTGCTAGCAAATTAAATTCTCTTGACTTTCGGTCTGGATTGTCAGGCAGGTCCCTCAAATTGCAATCAATAAAATTATGTAAAAATATTACATAAATACACACGTAGAATTTAAATATATATGCATATTTATATATTTGAAGTCTACGTGTTTATTTTATATAATTATTTGTAATTTTGTATATGGACATATGTATATTGCGCGTGTGTGTGTGTGTGTGTGTGTGTATATGTATGTATGTATGTGTGTATATATATATATATATATATATATATATATATATATATATATATATATATATATATATATATATATATATATTCTATAATTTCATTCTAAGTGTATTTTGATATAAATATCAAAATACAGTTGGAATAAAATTTCATATAGATATATAATTTTTTAAAATTATATTTTATAATTTTTGTGTGTAATTTAATTTTAAGTGTATTTTTATATTAATATAAAGCTGTGAAGTGCCCCACTCATTTCATGCTCTCAGCCAATTAACGCAGTTCTATGTGAGAAGTTGCATTACCACATCATTCTAAATCGATTTGATAAATTATTCTCGGAGGGTCCCAGGATAGTACAGTTGGCTCTAGAGGTTATGGCGCTTGAAGTGTTCCTTAAGTGAATTGATATTGGACCTAGATGCTGCTCCAGCTGTCTTGCAAATGAGTATGATGCCATTTCTGAGAGAAGCATTGAATTGACAAATCTGTGATAACCATGCTTGCATGGTGTGTATTTGAGTAGAATCAGACTGGACAAAATACTTTGTGGTTGACTACCAAGGTCAGGGATAGACAACCTTCGGCACCCCAGATGTTGTGGACTCATCTCCATTGATGCTTTCCAAGCATTATGTGGGATGTAGTCCAAAACATCCGGAGTGCCGAAGGTTGCTTATCCCTGTCCTAGGTATTGATTGCTGTGCTGTCCCCGGCTTCCCCTTGCACTGATCGCTGTGCTGTCCCAGGCTGACACACACCTAGTACACTCAGACTGTATTAGATTGTTTGTTTATGCAGCTCTGTACATGTGGGAGCCTTCAACTGTCCAGTAAGACTTAGAATCTGTATAACTCTATTGCCGTCCAAGAAATGCGCACCCTTGCACATTATTTTGTGGATTTTACTTTACAATATTTCAAGGTAGCAATGTGATGTCTAGAAAGAGATTTATTTTGCTAGTCTGATCTCCTTTTTCTTTTGTTTGTCCTCAGTGTAATAAAAAGGCAAAGCGTTCAGATATTGTGGTTCTGTACGCCCGAACACTGAAAGCTCTGGATACTAGTGAGCAGGAGCGCCTGAAAAGGTAGCGTTCTACTGATTTTATTGACCCATTACACCATGAACACGTGCTTGTCTGACTGTTATCAGTCATGTGCATTCTTGACCCCTTCGTGAAGGAAGTAGCTACGCTAATAATGTAAGTGTTTGTGTTTTCCATCAGTTCCCTGGACAAGGAGCAATCATTACGGAAGAAGGCGGAGCTGGAATCCGCACAGTGTCGCCTGCAGGTCCAGCTACTAAATGACGAGTGCGGGAAACTGCGCAAACAGATTCAGGTGAGATGTCCGAATGTAAAAGGTTTATATTCATTTTGGTATATTTATTATGTATTGTTTTGATTGTAGTTTTACAGAATAAGGTTTTATAATCACATTTCTTGCCATATGGATATTAAGAATCATTGTTACATGCTGTTGTCATTTATTAATGGCGTTGACTAAATCTATTTGCATATTAGCAGCAGCAGCAGCAGTATATTAGATGCATTAGGACATGCTTGGACCTAAAGGGGCAGTATAGTATAAGGAACACTATAGTTCTAAAACTGCCATTTAGGTGGTCCGTAACCATTGCCTCATAGAAACATAGAATGTGACGGCAGATAAGAACCATTCAGCCCATCTAGTCTGCCCAATTTTCTAAATACTTTCATTAGTCTCTAGCCTTATCTTATAGTTAGGATAGCCTTGTTGAAGTGTTAGTTAAACATGCACCGTAATTACCTAGATCTCTACACTATCAACTTGACTGATCTCTTGTTCACTTACCCCTCGCATTTAGTCCTTGATGGATTAGACAGGCAGTGGGAGAATTTATTTTATGGGGGTGTTAAATATTGAAAATATTTTATATAAATTATAAAAAAAAAAAACTTTTTTTTTTTTTTTTTTATATTTTGGCACCGTTTCCCTTGATTGGTTTAAAGCTTGGAGTACCTCACTATTTTAACTCTTATAGACCCTGGAGCATGTTTATGAGCAAATTTATATTTCACACAATCACAACTGATTTTATAAAAAATATATATTAAAAAAAAAAAATAATTTGTGACTAATATTACAAATCTGTACCATGCATGATGATGATCCGTGAATATTTGGTATAACAGGCGTAAAATATGACAATTATGTCAACCATAAGAACAACAAAGATCATTTCTAAATAACTTGTCTTATAGTGATGGGTTAGCAGTTCACTGAGTGCTAACCCATCACTAGGGGGTATGGGTCAGTGTACTTGGCAAGTAACAGTACAGATTTTGTACACCTCAATAATCAATAGGCTATAAGTAACGATATTTAATAATGTCAATTAATTTCCAAAGGAAATTATACATATGGAACTTCATGCATCACCCATAGAACCTAACTGACATTGTTTCAACATGGGAGGTGGGGGCGGGGGGAGAGAATGACCACAGAATGCAGAACAAAGCCATAAACTGATGCTAGCAGTTAGGGAAGATAAACACAGTTAGAATTAACTAGTTCACCCGCTGCATGTGATTCTCAGAGTATGTACTTTAAACATTGCAAAACAAAGCCATTTCATGCAATAGTCAATTAACTATTCTTTACCATCCAATAATCACAAGAGAATCCTAAGCCTTAAAATCGCTTTACTACAGTATTTAACAACTATTTACAACTCACTGCAATTTCTTAGTATTTGGTAATAATATTAAGACCAGTCCCTGAATTATTAAAGGAACACTATAGTCACCTAAATTACTTTAGCTAAATAAAGCACTTTTAGTGTATAGATTAGGGGTAGGCAACCTACGGCACTAGTGCCACGCACGGCACTCAAGGCTGCTAGAGCCAAACAGGCTCTGGCCTATCAGGAGTCCCAGTGAAACAGATATCTGCTAATACGAAAAGGTGGTGAAGGACAATCCTCAATTCATGCATTGCAGCACATAGAGGAAGTGATCTCAGATCACTTCCTCCCAGCACTTGTGAATGGGAATCCACACTGTAGTAGAGCAGCCTGCAGCTCCTGTCCTGTACCTGGCCAGCCTGCTCCCCACTGGCACCCACACTGCTAGATATACACAGAGATGCAGAATAACCCTCCCCTCATACAAATACCCCAAACAGCCCACACACAAACAAAACACAATCTGCACAAACGTAACCCGCTAACAATCTCACATGCAATACCCCAAACAGCCCCCCACACATACACACAATGTGACACATCCATCCACACAATTCCACAAGCTGCCCCCACACACAGCCCACATTCATAGGTATCATACACAACACCACAAACTACTTGTAAACATATACAATATAACAGCTCCTATACGCACAAATACAACAATACAAAGCAATTACAGGATAAATAACACAAGCAGAATACGGCAACATACACACCTCAATTTAAAAAAATAGGACCGGCATGCTACGGGACATCACAATCCTATATCGGCACAGTGCTGCTAAAAGTTTGCCTACCCCTGGAATAGATCATTCCCCTGCAATTTCACTGCTCAATTCTCTGTCATTTAGGAGTTAAATCACTTTGTTTCTGTTTATGCAGCCCTAGCCACACCTCCCCTGGCTATGATTGACAGAGCCTGCATGGAAAAAAACTGGTTTCACTTTCAAACAGATGTAATTTACCTTAAATAATTGTATCTCAATCTCTAAATTGAACTTTTAATCACATACAGGAGGCTCTTGCAGGGTCTAGCAAGCTATTAACATAGCAGGGGATAAGAAAATCTTAATTAAACAGAACTTGCAATAAAGAAAGCCTAAATAGGGCTCTCTTTACAGGAAGTGTTTATGGAAGACTGTGCAAGTCACATGCAGGGAGGTGTGACTTGGGTTCATAAACAAAGGGATTTAACTCCTAAATGGCAGAGGATTGAGCAGTGAGGCTGCAGGGGCATGTTCTATACACCAAAACTGCTTCATTAAGCTAAAGTTGTTCTGGTGACTATAGTGTCCCTTTAAGGATGTTTAAAATCTCTGGATAATAGCTTGATATGCTAAACTTGGCTAATTACCAGTGAACACATCTAATGCCTTAATTTCCGCTGCAGTCTGAAATTATGAGATACATTTTTACTTTTAGCTAATTACGCAATGTTGGAAATCTGACCAGCAATATCCAGGTATATATTGTTTTTAGAAATAATTAAATTAAATTAAACCCATATATTTACTTATCTGGTAGAAGTTCTGTGGCTGGAGATAATCAAGTGAATGAGTGTGAGGTAAGAGTGTTAAAGTTAGAGAAAATAGACTCCAAGCGAGAGTGGTTTCCGAAAGTCCAGAAGTGGTCTGGCTAACGAAGAAATTTTCAAGTGTCCCAAGAATTCCTGAAGGAAAAGGGTGTGTGTTCAAAGTGTTGAGTATCTATTCCCACGATTGTATGTATGTTTCTTGTTCAATCTGTGTTCTTACTTTGAAAGAAATCTCTTGTCTGTAAATTTCAGATAGAAACATAGAAACATAGAAACATAGAATGTGACGGCAGATAAGAACCATTCGGCCCATCTAGTCTGCCCAATTTTCTAAATACTTTCATTAGTCCCTAGTCTTATCTTATAGTTAGGATAGCCTTATGCCTATCCCACGCATGCTTAAACTCCTTTACTGTGTTAGCCTCTACCACTTCAGCTGGAAGGCTATTCCATGCATCCACTACCCTCTCAGTAAACTAATACTTCCTGATATTATTTTTAAACCTTTGTCCCTCTAATTTAAGACTATGTCCTCTTGTTGTGGTAGTTTTTCTTCTTTTAAATATAGTCTCCTCCTTTTACTGTGTTGATTCCCTTTATGTATTTAAATGTTTCTATCATATCCCCCCTGTCTCGTCTTTCCTCCAAGCTATACATGTTAAGATCCTTTTAACCTTTCCTGGTAAGTTTTATCCCGCAATCCATGAACCAGTTTAGTAGCCCTTCTCTGAACCCTCTCTAAGGTATCAATATCCTTCTGAAGATACAGTCTCCAGTATTGTGTACAATACTCCAAGTGAAGTCTCACCAGTGTTCTGTACAATGGCATGAGCACTTCCCTCTTTCTACTGCTAATACCTCTCCCTATACAACCAAGCATTCTGCTGGCATTTCCTGCTGCTCTATTACATTGTCTGCCTACCTTTAAGTCATCAGAAATAATCACCCCTAAATCCCTTTCCTCAATTGTTGAGGTTAGGACTCTATCAAATATTCTGTACTCTGCCCTTAGGTTTTTACATCCAAGATGCATTATCTTGCACTTATCCACATTAAATGTCAGTTGCCACAATTCTGACCATTTTTCTAGTTTACCTAAATCATTTGTCATTTGGCTTATCCCTCCTGGAACATCAACCCTGTTACATATCTTATTATCATCAGCAAAAAGACATACCTTACCATCAAGACCTTCTGCAATATCACTTATAAAAATATTAAAGAGAATGGGTCCAAGTACAGATCCCTGAGGTACCCCACTGGTGACAAGTCCAAGCTTCGAATATATTCCATTAACTACAACCCTCTGTTGCCTGTTACTCAGCCACTGCCTTACCCATTCAGCAATATTTGAATCCAAACTTAAAGATTGCAGTTTATTGATAAGCCTTCTATGTGCAACAGTGTCAAAAGCCTTACTGAAATCTAGGTAAGCAATGTCTACTGCACCACCCTGATCTATAATTTTAGTTACCCAATCAAAAAAATCAATAAGATTTGTTTGGCATGATCTCCCTGAAATAAACCCATGTTGTCTCTGATCTTGAAATCCATGTGTTTTTAGATGTTCATCAATCCTATCCTTTAACATGGTTTCCATCACTTTCCCCACTACTGAAGTAAGGCTTACTGGCCTATAGTTGCCCGACTCCTCCCTATTACCTTTCTTGTAAATGGGCACAACATTCGCTAACTTCCAATCTTCTGGGACTACTCCTGTTAACAATGATTGGTTAAATAAATCTGTTAATGGTTTTGCTGGTACACCACTAAGCTCTTTTAATAGCTTTGGGTGTATTCCATCAGGTCCCATTGACTTATTTGTCTTTACTTTTGACAGTTGAAATAGAACCTCTTCCTCTGTAAACTCACGTGTAATAAATGACTCATTTATCCTTTTTCTCAACTGAGGTCCCTTTCCTTCATTTTCTACTGTAAATACAGAACAAAAATATTCATTGAGGCAGTCAGCCTGACCTTTATCCTCTTCTACATACCTTCTTCTTTTGTTTTTAATCTAACTAATCCTTGTTTTACTTTTCTTTTCTCATTTATGTATCTAAAAAATGTTTTATCCCCCTTTTTTACTGACTGTGCTATTTTCTCTTCTGTGTGATTTGGAAGCTCTTATAACTTGCTTAGCCTCTTTCTGCCTAATCTTATAGATCATTTTGTCTCCCTCACTCTGGGTTTTTTTATAATTCCTAAGTGCTAACTTTTTGTTTTTAACTATTTTGGCCACATCTGCGGAGTACCACAGTGGTTTCTTGAATTTTTGCTTTTACTGACAAGCCTAATGCAATTTTCTGTTGCCTTCAATAGTGCAACTTTTAAATAATCCCATTTTTCTTGGACTCCATTTAAATTGCTCCAGTCTGATAATGACTCTTCTAAAATTAGAATATGGGTAGAGAAGTCTAAAACTTTTGTTTTTGTGTGGTGTGACTCAGTCACTGTTCTTATATTAAACCACACTGACTGATGATCACTGGATCCTAAACTTTCACCTACAGTAACATCTGATACCAAATCTCCATTTGTTAACACTAAATCTAGTTTGGCCTCTTTACGAGTTGGCTCCTCAACAACTTGCTTTAGAGACAACTCCAGTAGGGAGTTTAGAATATGTGTGCTCCTGGCACAAGTAGCTAATTTTGTTTTCCAATTTACATCAGGAAGATTAAAGTCACCCATGATGATAACTTCCCCCTTCATTGTCATTTAGCTATTTCCTCAACTAGTAGATTATCTAACTCTTCAATTTGTCCTAGGGGCCTATAAATCACACCTACACGAGTTACTGTGTGATTACCAAATTCTAACGTAGCCCAAGCGGACTCTATGTTTGCCTCACTAACTTTTATTAGGCTAGATTTTATGCTATCCTTCACATACAAGGCCACCCCTCCCCCTTTCTTGCCTTCCCTATCTTTCCTATATAAAAAGAGTACCCTGGTATTGCTATGTCCCAGTCATTTTTCTCATTGTACCATGTCTCAGTAACAGCGACTAAATCTACACTATCAGTTGCCATTATTGCCACAAGTTCATGGATCTTATTCCCTAAACTGTGAGCATTTGTAGACATGACTCTAAGCTTATAATTTTTTAACACACTTGCTACAGGCACCTTCTGTCCTTGTTTTGGGGGACAATTGGATTGATGTTTTATCACCCTTTTGCCCCCCCCTCCTAGTTTAAATACATCCTAGCAAAACCTCTGAGCTGCTCACTGAGAACATTTGTTCCCTTTTGAGAAAGATGCAAACCATCTTTTTTGTACAGCTTATCTCCATTTCAAACAGAGCTACCATGAGAAATAAAGCCAAATCCTTGCTCCCGACACCATTCACCAAGCCACAAATTAAAGTCCCTAATACGCATCCGCGTGTCGTTCTGAGTGTTATGCACAGGCAGAACTTCAGAGAATGACAGTGTGGAAGCAACCTGCCGTATATCATTGGCAAAACACTAAAAACTTCCTTAACCTCTGAAACCTCATTGCAAGCCAAGTCATTTGTCCCTAGATGGACAAGTACATCCAATTCCCCTTCCTGCTTTGCTTGCTTAACAATATTACTGATACGTCTCCTGTCTCTGTGAGCAGTAGCTCCGGGAAGACACCTCACAAGACCACCATTGTCCATCTCCACACCTCTTATAATGGAATCACCCAACAACAACTGCTTTCTATTAGGCCTCACCATAGTCTCCAAGCCGGTCTCCACAACACCACTAGCCTCAGTGCCTCTCTCCACAACACCACTAGCCTCGGTGCCTCTCTCCACAACACCACTAGCCTCGTGCCTCTCTCCACAACACCACTAGCCTCAGTGCCTCTCTCCACAACACCACTAGCCTCAGTGCCTCTCTCCACAACACCACTAGCCTCAGTGCCTCTCTCTACAACACCACTAGCCTCAGTGCCTCTCTCTACAACACCACTAGCCTCAGTGCCTCTCTCTACAACACCACTAGTCTCAGTGCCTCTCTCCACAACACCACTAGTCTCAGTGCCTCTCTCCACAACACCACTAGCCTCAGTGCCTCTCTCCACAACACCACTAGCCTCAGTGCCTCTCTCCACAATACCATTACACTCTGAAAGTGAAGAAAATGAATTATGAAGAGCAACAGACTGTGCAAAATGCCTTTTATCCACAACTCTAAGTCTACCAGATCCTACAGTAATCCATCTGCCTTTCCTAGTATGTCTCTGCGGCAGTGGCTTTGCAGCAGTTACAGTCTGAGTTTCTTCACCAGATAATTTACAAATCTCAGACTTCAAAAATACAATCTCCTGCCGCAAGATAGAGAACTGTCTACAGATTAGACAACAACCAAACCTCCAAAAACTGGAACGTGAAACAAATGCATAGCAATTGTTACACTGAACTAAACCTGCCATTCCAATTATAAGAATAATTTAAATCGAACAAATCTTAACTTTTGTATTTATCCTCCTGAATACCTCAGATTACCTCCAGGTTATCTCCAACGACACACTTAGAAACAGCACTTGGAAGTAGCACCAAGCTATATTAGACAAGCTAATGGAACCAGGCCTTATATAACTCCTAAAATCAGGCCTGATTTTAAAAATGACCAACGGAATCCTATGGGCATACAGTATTACAATGAGTGACCGATAGATGGCATAACTGTATGGTTTGTTAATTGTAATGATCATTTGGTCATAATGGTTTAACTAAAATACATGACTACTTGGAGAAAACTACTATCTTTATAGCAATCAATCATAGATTGCTGTCAAATATCAGTTTGGTAGATTTTAAAAGACAGGTGTTAAATCTCATCGTAATTTTAAGTAGCTGGCATAGATGCCCCAAGTTTCAACTAAGTCTACAATGGAGTCTTCTAGAAGCCCCCATTAAACATAGTCTCCTTCATGATTTAAGGAGTATGTCTTATGCGCAAATTTTCATCTTCTAATCGGATTCTGGATTTCAGCTACACTGACCATCCATGGTATCAGATTACATGTTAGTAATAATGTTCAACATAAAATGTATGTATCTTTAATAAACATCTAGTGTTAGAAAAATCTACTCAAATTACTATTTTGAATATATAAAAAATATTTAAAGAGTAGTATTATCATGATATATAATTATATTGCAAGCTAGGGATTTTTCTCAAACCCCCTTTCTTTCTGACCCTTATTTGTAGTCTGCCCTGTAAGAAGATACCTTATCTCACCTTAGAGTCTTGGTGAGGCAGTGTTTGCACTCCAAGGCTTTTTACGACCTGGACTGCAAATAAGATACACAAATACAGTACAGCAGTTATTTTTATTTTTTTTATCCACAAAATGTCTGACATTATTTAAACATTTTTCACCCACACCCAGGTTTAAACTCCTTCTCTAAGACGTGTTTACATGAACCTACTTAAACGCTATCGAAAAATGTTGATCTTTAAACTCTGTTTTGGCATCTTTAATCCGGATAAAATCTTAGATACAGCAAAACCTAGAGAAAATGTGCACCATCTGATACTGTCCACGTAAATAACATACAAATCTTAAAATCTAGTAAAATATCAATATTTTACAATAGCTATTTCAGCTGCATTTTGATAAATTGTACTAAAAATATTTTTTATTTTGCTTCTTTTACAAAATTAGTGTGCAAATTGATTTGCTAGATTTTCTTTTTCTTTTTCTTTTTTTTTTCTTTTTTTTTTGTCTTTTACCTAAATCCGCTGTAATGAAGTGTTTTCTGTTATTGCTGTGATTTGTCCTGCAGGAGTTAAAGCTGCTGATTGCGCAGCACGGTACCACCTCCTCCTCCCAGCAGCCTTCCTGGTCCCGGGCCTCTAGCTCACTCTCATCCAGCCAGATCCAGAGGAAGTATAACTTTGAGAAGGCAATACTGATCTCTCAGAGCGGAAACTGCAGGGTCATGTCTTTCTGTGAGAGTCTGGGCTGCCTGGCTGTGTCCCAGCCATCCCCACAGACAACGCTAATTCCAGGTAAGTATTTAGGGCTATAAAGAGTTAATGGCCTATTCTAATCATAAACACTGCTCATTAGTGAGTGTTCATGTTTGTCATTCATTCTGTGCACGTGTTCCTGCACAGCCTGGCTTTGGACCTTGATACCAGACGTGGTGATAGAATTGTGGGAAAATGGCACTGAAAGCAGTAAGAGGACCATGTACGCCATTACTGTTTAATTGTGCCTCAGTGGGAAGTTTGGCCGTATTTACATCATCCATTCTCTTCATTCTTTACAGCCGTGAGGGGAAATGACAGATGGCAAAACCAGACTCTTCCACTTCATAGCTGTATCTAGATGTTTAATTTCCCTGTGACAAACATGGAGCTGGACCTTCTCACTTGAAATCTTCATATTTCCTTCCAGGTTGTGGGATTAAGAAGCTGAGTGCAGTGAATATGAAAAGCAGCCAATACGTCCCCATTCACTCCAAGCAGATCAGGGGCCTGGCGTTCAGTAACCGGACGGATGGACTGCTTCTATCTGCCGCTCTCGATAACACAGTGAAGCTGACTAGGTGAATCCTCCAGATCCAACATTCAGTACTGATCTACATAACCTGCATCAAGGCAGCACCTATGCTGGCAGTCTTTGGTTTCTGTTTTTGGCAGATCAGGGGGAGCCAGGTGTTTTGATCTAAAATGCATCTTGTGGGTAGATGGATAACAGGCCAAGTCCTGGCTGCACATCTAATAACATGGATACATTTGAGTGAAGGCTGTCTAAAGATAGGCACATTTGGTACTTCTTTTTGAAATCCTGGATATTGAGTAGTTTTTTTTTTATTTTTATTTTTATTATTATTATTATTTTTTTTTAAAAAAAAGACTATGCAAGGCTGTAATTTGTATGTGAATAAATTGTTGGTCCACGGAAAAATCTGATTGTCATTTTGTTTGGCTAGCCCTTAAAATTGAGGGGGGCTTTACAGGGGCTTATGGGATAAGGGACCCCTCCCCCAACGGCCCAGAGATTGGTGGGGTAACCATGAGGTGTGCCTTTAGCTACAGTCTGTACCATCTTTACATGAACAGGGAGGTATTTTTATGTACAAATGCAATCTAGACTGATGGAGTTGTTTTTGTTTTTTCTTTCTGTATTGTCCTCATAGCTTGCTAACCAACACTGTGGTGCAGACCTATAACACCGGAAGGCCTGTCTGGAGCTGCTGCTGGTGCTCTGACAATACGAACTATGTTTATGCCGGTCTCATTAATGGCTCTGTGCTAGTGTATGACCTGCGCGATACCAGCCAGTGTGTGAAGGAACTGGTGCCGCTGGGCTCCAGGTAACATGTCCTCATTAGTGAAAGTTGATTGAAATCATAGTAAATATTTAGCAGTTTTCACCTCATGAACCTTCTACCTGTTTTTGCTCTGTAGATGTCCGGTGGTGTCGCTTTCATCTGTACCTCGTGCTGCGTCAGAAGTCTTTCCTTGTGGAGGCGTGCTAGCTGGGACTCTGGAGGGGGCATGTTTTTGGGAGATGAAGGATGGTCAGTACCGTCCTCATCTCCTCCCTTTGGAAACTGGAGGCTGCACAGATATCCAAACTGAGAGCACCACCCGTCACTGCCTTGTTACTTACCGCCCTGGTAAGTAGCACTAGATCTTTCACTCCTGTAATGGCACCCCGGGTATAAAAGGGGTTAAAAGCCATTTAGGAGATAATCCCTTTCCAGATACAAAGTCGGCTACCAAAGACACCAATCTGCCGAACAGGAAGAACCATATCAATGCTCCAAAAAGCCAAACCGGAAAAACCATACAAATAGGTTTATACTCCAGAAGCCAAATAGTAAAACCATACGAATAACCCACCCCCAAGTACTAGACTAGGCTCTGTATTGAGGGTCAGCAGGTAATCTGGTTTAATGGGGCTAACTGCCCGATATTAATGCAGGTCTCCCACCAGGTGGACACTCCCATAGGGGACCTGGTAGGAAACTAGGACACAAATTGTTCATTGACCAATAAGAACAGTTTAGCAGTAAACACTCCCCTTTGGACAATAGGGACCCTCCTCTCTATCCTGGAGATAATTGGGAAGTAACTCCATTATCTCCGAGGATAGAGCACAACCTCTATTTTATACCTGTTACTAAAAAGACATAAAAATACATAATACTAAAACTACCGAATAAACTATGCATGTTCAACATATCCCCAGATAGCTGAGATCTGAGTGCACATTATTACTGAATGGCGCTCAGATCACATGCATACAGTTCAATCGCCATGGAGCCAAAGTCTTTCACATACTCTTTCACATAGTCTTTCGATATACGAATGGGCTCCATGGGATAGCTATCTGGGGTAGCACTGTTCACATAATCAAAGTCCCGAACGGCCCAGCGTTCGTATTAACAAATGGGAACAAGAAAAGGGAGGTCGGCAGCTTCGGCGGTGTTCGTGAAGAAAAGTGTCCGTTTTCAGTTTCATGAACTAGTCGTCGAACACCACTGTGCATTCGACCGTTTAAGATGGCCGCCGCCATGTGTTCGGCTATATGAACGACTGACACTCCACGTTCGTCAATTAAGCTGTGGTTAACCGCAGCTTCAGGGAGGTAAATTGCTGGCCCACTCCATACCCAGGTGGTCCGGTAATTCGTACGTTTGGTCAGTAAATTGAATTTACTGAACGCCATAGCAGAAAGGCACGAACAAGCATTTCTACAGGGAGGAGTAAAAGTTTTAACATAGGGGCCATAGTCCTGAGGCAGCAGGCGAGCAACCAGGCTTCTCCAGGACCTAGTGGCCAGGTTAGTTTCGCCACAACTCCCTTGCACACTCATATCATAGTAAGCTAGTAAACATCTGCCTCATTGCCTACCTCACCAATAGCAGTCACTCTTCCCCTGTCACTGCTTTGTCTTCTACCTCACCAGTAACCGTCATTCTTCCCCTGTCATTGCCTCGTCACCTACCTTACCAGTAAGTCACTCTGCCCCTGTCACTGCCTCATTCCTAGCTCCACTGTAACAATCACTACCCCGTCACTGTCTCTCCCCAATAAACAGCTGTAAAACTTGATATTGCCTCCAGTATTTGTGTATGATAAATCAATGCATGGTTTGGTTTAGCAGTGTATTTTTTCAAAAGTGATATTGATTTTTTTTTTCAGGGAAAACCCACAACTTCCTCCGTTGTGTGATGATGGAGCTGATCAGTAATCGTCTGACAGACTCGGAGGATGAGTACAGCTGCTCCTGTTATCCAGTACAGACCTTCAATAGTGGCCCCACCTGCAAACTGCTCACCAAGAACGCCATCTTCCAGAGTCCTGATCGGGATGGCACTGTCCTGGTGTGTGCAGGAGACGAGTCCTCAAACTCTGCCATGGTGAGAAACCTTGTAATTCCTTTCTTGTGTACAATACACATCACAAAGGGAGGGGCACGGAATACAGATCCTACCTCTGTTCAGTTCTCTCCTATAATTAACAAGTGTGTTTGTACGTTGTGAATATTAAACAAATTTGTAGATATCCACACCCGTGTATTTTTCAGTTGAGTTTCTCCTTCGTTGCTCCCAGTAAACTTACACTTTTAATATATATTACAATGGTGTAATGTCCATAGAATTGATTGTTTAAATAGTAATTTGTTTAACCACTTCAATATCTTTTTTTTTGCACTTAAAAATCTAGCCCATAGAGCCTTATCCACCTTTGTTATGACTGCCAATCTGTAGAGAAATGCGCTTTTCATCCAGAAGCCACTGGTTACTGATACAATGCCTGTATGCTTTTTTTTTGTTTTTTAAACTAACATTTCAGATCTTGTGTGAAATATTGCATGGTAGAGGACCCTATATACGTTATAAAGCGGTTTCTTAACTAAAAATGTTTATGAAGGATGAACAAATAAGTAACTTAAGTCTAAATTTGCATAATTAGATTTTTAAGTTTGTAGCAAAGCAAACTACCCAAAATTCCTGTTATAGGTTTATATGATAGATATGCATTCCTTGCTTCAAATATATGGTATGCTGATATTTATTTTAATCAAAAAGTGCTAGGTAGTAAAGGGGTTAATCACTTCTTCCAGACTTTATTCAGCAATAACCACTCACGTCCAGGCGTGTTCGCTATGAAACCTACTAACTCCTTTCAATGAAAAGAAATCTGCATAATGTTCAATATTCTAAACTAAACTGAGAATTATAAAGAACTGACGAGGATATTGTAAGTTTCTGCCAAAATAACTGACCTGAGCAAATCTAGTTCCATTTTGGCTTGCGATGTCCAATTATCGAATTCCCAGTTTAGTTCATATTGCTGTAAGGCTTGGAATACTAAAGACGTGGTCTGTCCTTTTTTGGAAGAAATGACAATCCAGCTAGCATTCCTTACATAGTTGGTAGAGTAACCGAACAACGACTAGGAACGTTCATTAACTTATAGATCTATTTATTTATTTATTTATTTTCCCTAGATGTGCTTTGTTGTATGACCTGAGTTTATTTTGAAGAATTGCAGTCTTATGGTGTTTTCCTGCCTCTGTAAATATCCCCCAGTGATGACGCTGTATAAAGCACTGGACACTTACTATGCACCTTTCTTTGTCCATTCCAGCTGTGGCATTCAGGAACCGGCTCGCTAGTTCAGAAGCTGCAGGCTGACCAGCCCGTGCTTGATATCTGCCCCATCGAGGTGAACCAGAGCAGCATGCTGGCCACATTAACTGAGAAAATGGTGAAAATCTACAAATGGGAGTGACTCAGGATTTAAATCAATAAAGGCTCAGAAAATGGAAAAACAAACCTCTCCGGTTCCAGAGTGCCGCTACAGTCACGGACCTGGATTTGTGCTGGGTGGGAGCTGCGTTTTATTCCTATCTTGGGATGCACAACACCTTTTCTATTCTGGAAAGCAGCACATTTTCTCGGCATGGACATAACCTACATAAACACTATTTTGGCTTTTCAGATTGTGCTGGGGTGACAGTGTATTACTGTGGTGAACAATGTCTTTCATATTGTACAGTCTGTATATTTTCCCATGTGTTATAAACTGTGTTTACATGTGTATTTTCTGTCATTTTGTCTGCATCTCTTGTAGATATTTAATTGTTTGTCTAAAAAAAAAATGTTCTGGGCAATAAAGAATTTTGTATTTTTATTACTGGTTTTAAGTAAAGTAACTTCAAGCTTTCCTGAGAGAACTCTCCCTGAGCCACAGCTCGACCTGTGAATGCTCTTTTCTATAAAATTACTCCAATCACTTTTTTTTTTTCCAAAGCATTGTATTAAACTAAACTCTATTAGTGACCATGTTTATTGTCATTGCATGATTAAAGTGGCATTCTTAGGACCATAATCACTGTGGGTTGTGGTTAAGGTGTAGGCAGACAGGCTCTGTTTTGCTATGTTCTTGACTGTTATTGTGTTCCCCAGATCCTAACACTGCTGCCTTCTCTCTTTCATCCTCCCTGCCACAGCAGTACTAGAAAGCTTTGCTGGTCAGCCAGTGTCCTCTGAAGCTCTCTGCATACTGAGTGTGTGACATATTGTACTATTTCTTGGCTAATCATGGCAGCATCACTTCTGGGTAGCCCAACTCCCACTGGAACAGGAAAGCATTAACAAGACTGGAGGCATGAAATGTCCCTCCTCGCATACCACAGGCTTTGTTTTGGGTTTTTTATGTCCTTGGCTGTATGGATGGGAAACTTCTTTTTCTAAAGAATTTTATTTTTTTGGTGACTTTCCAGGTCTACCATGGGTATGCCAGACGAAGTTCAGCCTTTTTGGTCTGTAAGGATTTCATTTTGAATATTCTCACGTTGAGTATGGAGTTCACTCCTTTTAAGTTCAGGATTAGACGCTACTTTCCTTGGGGTTTTGGAGCCAAGAACACTGGAGTAAACTCATTTAAACCTTTCCTCTTTCGGAACAACTTCTATAACCCTTTTGTTCCTGAAGAGTAGAGATGCATTTCCTCATGGCTCTTCGTTTGATGCCAGTCAACACCTTTGACTTCCTGAAGAGAGCAAAGTTTGGGTAAGAGGAAAACTCTATCCTGTAACCTTTTATGATGGAATTGACCCAGACGTCTGTGATATTTGCGGCCCACACCAGTTAGAAGACTTTCCAGAAGATGTTCCCTGCGGACTCCACGGTCAATGTCCTCCTCCAGATTTGCGAGCCATACTCTTAAGGCCCTTGATAGAGTGGTTAGAGCCACTGCAGGATGGAGGGAGGAGCCTAGAGCCAAATAAGATTTTAGAAGATCCCCATCCATACGTTTTTCCATAGGTTCTCTAAGGTGGGCCATGGAATCAATGGGGAGCGTAGTTTTATTAGACACATGAATCACGGCAGCATCTATTTTTGGAACGGAGTTCCATGGCCAAATAAAAGAAAAGGTGTTTACGGTCCTGTAGAATCTGCTAAGGACAGGAAAAAAAGACAGGTATAAAGAGTCCTTTCTCCCCTTACACCAATCAGTCTAATTAATTCCTGTCCTGTGACTGCTAAGGGAGGAGCTACCCATAAGTGATGCTGCCATGATTAGCAAGGAATGCTCTATTATACTGCATTTGTGAGGATATTTATGGGGTGAGATATTACAAATAATATTTTCATAATTATCGAAAATATATTTAATTTTTATTATATAAAAAATTGATATCTTGGCATTGTTCCCCGAATAATAAAGCTGAGAATTACCCCCGATTTTTAATTCTCTGAGATCCTAGAGGAAATTTCACTAGAGGATTTTTACTTCACGTAGTAATCACAAATTATTGTAAAAAATATAATTTATTGTGACAATAATAATAAAAAATAATATATGTAACATGCATGACAATCTGTGAATAATTAGGTATACCATAATTATACAATATGTCAGTGGTTTAACACCATATAAACATCTAAAAGCAACCAGTTGTCAACAAGATTTGATAGGACACGGTTTAGAAATCACTTCACAGAAAAATCCATGTAACACTGCAGCACAGCGTAAAACAATAAAACTTTGGCTGATAGTCAAATCACAGTGAATTAACTCTTCCACTGCTGGCTACAATCCTCATAGGCAATGTTGCAATTGTACAATTAAAGTAATGTTCATACCAGATCATTTGACCATTCCTAGGTCCATCCAATAAGAATGATTCTACCAGATTTTACATTTGCTGAATTTCAAATTTCCTGAATAAGATTCACTATCTTATATCAGAACAAGTCAATACCTCCGGATAAAAATTTGGTATGCTAACATTTGGCAAATTTACTGTTAATACATTTTTATCTTTATTCCACCTGCAGGAATGGAATTTTTTTTATAACCATATATTCCTTAGTTAATTATGATTTCTAATAATTTAAATCTGACAAATATTTATCCAGATATATATTCCTGCTATTAGTAAAAAAAATAAAAAAATAATTAAATAAAACCAGCATAATTACCAATTATGTTGTAGATTTTCTTTCAGATGTGTAGATATATTCCAGGAATTTTGAATGCAAGTATGATAAGAGGGTTGTATTAGTTGGAAAAGGTAATAGCAAGAATTAGGTGTGTTCGAGAGAGTGTTGAGAGTTTCTTGAGTATAGTCCAAGAGTCAGAATGTGTAAGTCCCCGAGAGTTTGAGAGTCAGAATCTCCCTCTCTTCCCTTTGTCCTTACTTTTTAACCCCTTCAGGACAGGTGACGGACAGGGTCCGTCACAGAGGGGAGACCCTTAATAACGAGTGACGGACCTTGTCACCTTGTTAAATCTGTAAAAAAGTTTTAAGAAAGTTTAGGAAAGTTTAAAAAAAATTAATAAGCAAAACAAAAGTTTAAAAACTAGTTTTTAAAAGTAAAAAAAAATACATTTTAAAAACGCTCATTACCACTACACCTGGAACAAACTAGAGAAAATCTATCCCACGCTAAGGTTCAAAATATGCCTTTTGAATTACCCCAGGGTGTATACTTTAATAAATAGTATGTGTTTGTGGGGAAGTTTCAATAACCAACCGTCTAAACTACTCTAAATTGGAACATGGACACAGTGTAAAACTTCAAAGTTAGAAAAAAACTGAATGGCTGCGTCTCAAATGCGCCCCTTCAACATCCACATATACCTGGCAAAGGTACATACTGGGGTATTGCTGTACTCAGCCGACATAGCTGAGCAACATATGAAGTATTATACAGTCATAGCACACATAAGGTTTGCAAAATATGCTGCGCAAACTCACTTTGTATGTCAAAAAGGCAGAAAAATGCTTATTACCACTACACTTGGTACAAGCTAGCGGAAAAATGATCCCACGCTAAGGTTCAAAATATGCCTTTTGAAATACCCTGGGATGTCTTCTTTAAGAAATGGTATGGCTTTATGGGGTATTTGGATTATATAGCCTGGTAAAATATTCTAAAATGGGACATGGGCACAGCCTAAAAATTTTAAGTTTGAAAAAAACTGGAATGGCTGTGTCCCAAATGTGCCCCTCCAATGTCCACATATACCTGGCAAAGGTACATACAGGGGTATTGCTGTACTCAGCCAACATAGCTGAGCAACATATGAAGTATTATACAGTCGTAGCACACATAAGGATGGCAAAATATACTGTGCAAACTCACTTTGTATGTCAAAAAGGCAGAAAAAAACGCTTATTACCACTACGTCTGGTACAAGCTAGCGGAAAAATGATCCCACGCTAAGGTTCAAAATATACCTTTTGAAATACCCTGGGGTGTCTACTTTAAGAAATGGTAGGCCTTTGTGGGGTAGTTTGAATTTAAAACCTGCGAAGATGCTTGGAAATTGCACATAGGCCCAGCGTCAAAATTCAAAGTTCGGTAAAAACGGATATGACTTGGTCTCCTATATGGCACTGTAGCTTCACGAAATAGTGCCAAAGACATTCATTGAGGGTGTCTTTTTACTCAGAAGACTTAGCTGAGCATAATTTGGGACCCTCAGGGACCCCCTCCCGCCCGGCTCTGGAAGGGGGAAAGGAGTAAAAACGTACATTTTTCCAGCGCTGGGCGGGGAGCTCTCCTCCTCCAATCCTCCTCTTCTCCTCCCCGTCGGCTGAATGCAAACACGCGGCAAGAGCTGCGCGCGCATTCAGCCGGTCACATAGGAAAGCATTCATAATACTTTCCTATGGACGCTGGCGCAATTTCACCGTGAAAATCAATGTGAGAAGCATAAGCGCTTTCTACGCCAGTCAAATGGCGACAGCCGCTAGAGTGAAGCTAGGGAAGGCTTAACCCATTCATAAACATAGCAGTTTCTCTGAAACTGCTATAATTATGAAAAAATGGGTTAACCCTAGAAGGACCTGGCACCCAGACCACTTCATTAAGCTGAAGTGGTCTGGGTGCCTAGAGTGGTCCTTTAAGTGAAAGACAAGCTTTTGAAGCTCTGTCCTTAAGGGGTTAAAGGGGAAAACTCTCTACACGTCACTAGTTGATAGGACCAATAGGGAACTGTAGGTGTGACTTCCCTACAGACTATCATCTAGATTTCGATCAGTAGGTGGCGCAATTACATCACAAAAACTTCTTGTCAGGGGGTCCATTTGCCTTTTTGTATAATGGGTTAACTGAAATTGGTGATGCTTTTTATGTCATTTTCTTATCTCTTGTTTGGCCCATATTCATCACAGACATGCCACTTCAAAGCATTGGTTCACTCTTATACCAGACACAGCGTCTGCAATTTGGTGTCATAATTTTAGAATTGACACCTCCTAACCTTAATTTCAC